GTCATGGCAGCTAAACTCATCTTACCTCTAGGAAAATATCAATGTTCCTGCCAAGACAACACTGGGAAACCTGAAACACAGCTGTCTGTCAGGACTCTGATGATGGATTGCTCTTTCAAGAGCTTTTGTAGTCAATATTCTACTGGTCAAAGCACAAGAGTAAGACAATATTTGTTCATTTCAAATACTCATATGATCAGTATATAGGCACAGGATGATGTTCACATACATGAATGCAGCATTTCTGAAATCTGTAGAACCTAATGAGCGGATACATACAACTCTACAAAACTTTTGCTATTTTGGAAGAGTTTTCTAGCTTTTACCTTAATCTGGAAATATAGGTATGATCTCTTTCCCTTTTGAAAATCAACCATTGACATTATTTTCCAGTCTCCCTTCCAGGAGTCCCCCAGGCAATCTATGCTCAGGGAATTCTGCAGTGTAATTCCTGAGAAACAAACTGTTGGAAACTGATGGATAAAGCAAAGATGCCCTGCAACAGCTTTCTCCATCCTCCAAAAGCTCCCAGGCCTCCAAAACCTTTGTAGGCAGATCATACCACAGAAAAGAAATCATGTCCCATACTGGGACAGTTCAGTACAGTTTTCCTAACAGGATTCTAAAAGATTTTATCCAGTCCCATGACCCCATAGTGTTCCCTATGGATATTTTTACCATGTGGGCCAGAGGAATACATACATAAGTAAACCTGCATGCATATATAAGCACTATCAGCCTGTATAAAAAGGCTTTTTATTTACTCAATATTAGCTTATTGAAGGTCAAATTGAGGTGAAAAAGTATGAAATGAAATTAACCAGAAACAGCTAATGAAAAAAAAAAGCTGCAACCTTTAGTTTAGTCTGAGATGACATCTGGCAGAAGGAGATCACAGGAAATGCAATGCTGTTCTACATTAGGGAAAAGCTTATGTCACTTGATAATGTCCTCCCAGGAAGGTGGAGCACTGTCTCTAAGCTATTTATCAGTTCAGCATTTTTACTTCATTGGTTCTTACAATATATAATCTTTTATATCCAGTGCTTAAATTTTACTAACAGGTCCTAATTTAAAAGCTTGCATTCTATGATGTATCAAATAAAAATTTAAATACAGTTGAAGCTTGCAAAATTTCCTAAGATACTGTTTAGGTATACCTCATCTTCAACAAGTGGAAAAAAAAAAATTTTGTAACGTTGTTAGGAATACTTTTAAATTGAGAGAATTGTTTATAAAAACAAACAAGAAAAGGTCTTGCAGGCATTTTGAAAAAAAAAACAACTTGCAAAGCCAAGTATTTTTGATGAGGTCTACCAATTTTGCTTGCACAACTTCTGAACTTTAGATCTCTAAAACAGTTGCATAAAATTCTTATGGTTTAAACCCTATTTACAGTGGAAATATTTAGTAATGATATTAGCAGGCCATATCTAAAAGTAGAGACAGTTATCTAAATCTGGCACCATGTTAACTGTACCCAAGGTAAAGTCTCTTGCAGATGCTCAAACCTTTGACTACTAAGGAACTAGGGTTTCTAGGATTCTGGGATTTCTCACTGTGCAATCCAAAATGCCAGTTTTCTAAGACCTAGCCTGGGAATCTCCAAAACAGTGTTGAATTTCAGAGCATATAAATTTTCTACCTTAATGCTGTAAGATGCATCCAAAAAATGTTAAGTATTAATAATTTGAAATAGAAATATTTATATACAGAAACTGAAGTTCATAGTTTCTGTTTTGATGCAAAAAAATTCTAAGTTTAATATAAAACTTTAATATTCAATATATATATTTACAACCCTATGATAAAACACAAGGCAAAACAATTGCAGGGGTTAATGATGGCAAAACACCTGGGTAGTTCTCATAGTTTGGTAAAAACCTAATGAAAAAAAGATTTTTTAGACCTCAAAGACACTAAAAGATCTTCCATTTTAAAATCAACAAGTGGTAATGTTGTAAATAATGTAAAGAGCACTTTGCAGATTATTATCTACTCATTCTACACTGAATTCTTCCTAATAATTTGATTTAGAAATTAGTACTGTATATTGTCATTGTGGGTAATAAGCACCTAATGAGTAACATGGGTTTTAATAATCCTGTGCTTTAGAGTCTGAGAAGCTTGGCAGTAACAGAAGAAATGAAACCAAAACACAACAGAAAATTCCCCCTCTTAAGCCACATCTACTTTGCAGTCACAGAAGTGACTTCTGTGAAGTGTTGAGGTATTTTAAGTTAAATAGACCAGAAAATTGTAACTGTCTAGCTATTGCTGCTTGGCTTAACTGAGTCCACTCTTTTACTTCCTGACAGCAATGTAGACATGTGCCACAGACTTCTGTTCCATTCCATCTTTGTAGTTTCCTTCTTTTCTCCTTCTGTCCTTTTATTCTCCCCAAACTAGGAAGCTCAAGGTAAAGTGAGGCATCAAACTAAAGCTTAAAACATAATGTTTGGTGACATTTGGTGACCCCAAAGAAGAGTGGTGGTTGATGCACATTTGTTATGCCTGAAGTGTCTAAATATTTCAGAAATAAACAGCTTATGTAGACATATCTGTAGAAATATCTCCTCTCTAATACACAGTTTTAGTTAAAGCCAGCTACTGTGGCTTCAATCACTGCCTGAAGACACTTGTGGGTATCACTGGGGGAGAAAGTGTGATATTTACCTGATGAATGCCATCCAGAAGTCTTATAGTCTTGATTAAGACAATGAATCAAATAATCTAGGTGAGTTCTTCTTTTCATTTAAAAATAGTTCAATTAGTAGTAGAGGATTTAAGTCATGGGTTAAACTGGAATCAGAAACTTAGACTTGAGAGGAAAATCAATACAACTGAAAATTAGGAAAAGACAAGGTCCCTGTGCTATATAAGTTTTTGAATCTTCTAAAAAATAGCATTAATTCTCAAAACCTTGGCAAATTGCTAATTTGATAAAAGAATTATAAGTCTGATCAAGTGTTCAATGCTTCAAATGAATAATTTTAATTTTAATCCCTTTTTATATACATTTTTCAACATTTCAAAATGAAGTAAATTTGAACCGAAAAATGAAAATTCACATTTAGAAATTTTGAAAGAGAATATTTCAATAAGTTAAAACCTTTTTTTCCACAATATACTTTTAATGGGAATTATTAATACCATCCATTTTCACAAACAGTGCTGCTCTTGCTGAATAATACTTCAAGAAATTCATTTCATTGAAAAAACTCTCAGTCAGGTCAAATGGCAATATACACTATCTTCATGATAGATAGAAAACTATATAAAAAATAAACACTGTTTGCTTAAATACTCATCAGAATTGCCTTGCTTGCTATTGTTCTTTGGCTTTTATAGGCATTATTGCTCCTCTTATTTATCACTAATAGAGTTGAAAAGAAATGTACTTCACCTAGTTAGTGGAAGACAGGAAACTTAAATCTTTGGAATTTTCTTTTTCTCTGCAATGGGACTAGTCAAAATACAAATCAGATTATTTTTGCTGGCATGTTATTGACTGCTTTCATAAGAATTATGCTTACATATCTTGAGTATATCTGCAGCAGGTCTAAACTCCCAAACATACAAGAGACTCTTGAGTCTTTTGTTTTCATTTATGCAGGAATGAGAGAGACACTAATTTAAGAAATCTGCACTGAATCCTAAGTTAATTTATGAATGTGTCTCCAAAACTGCCATTTTTCTTAATATAAATGTACACTGCTAGGGGGGACTTTGCCTAGGTTTAATCTCAGTCTCTATGGAATTTGCCGTATGATAACTGATGTCTGTCTCATGGATATTCTTTCCAGTTTCAAAGCAAAGGACTAATGCTTTATCTCTACTAGCTTTTTGCACCTCTCTGCTTCAGCTAATTTCTCTTTGTAATCAACTTCATACACCACTATCATAAACTCATTTTCTCTCTTGTAGACAGCAAGCAGAATCACTTTTCTCTTTTACCTTAAATTAACTTCTGCTTCCAGATTTCTCCTCCTAAGAATCCAAATCCTTAAAATGTAGTAAAAATCTTCAAGTAATGGTGGATATTCAGTAGGGTTATTTTTAGGCTCTGCCACTTTATGGCAATGGTTGTAATGTTACAGGAGGACAGCAAGACCCTGTTAATTCTTTCTGAATTTTACTTATTATATTATGCGTGTGTATATATATATATATATATATATATACACACACAAATATAAAAACCATATATATATATATATATATATATAAATATGTAGGTATGCTTAACACATTCTTCATACAAATACAGAGGGACAAGAGCAGGCTGCATAATGTATTTTAGAGTGAGTTAATGCTGTTAAAAAGAAAGCTTTCAATGGAATTAAAAGTCAAATGTTTAATGGCAAATGCCTAACTTCATGGAGAGATATTATTGTATCTTAATGAATAATGACCTATAAACTCATCACTTTATGGAATTGTTATTTGCAATATATACTGAAATAAAAATATACATTTTATAATTTTTTCTTTCGAAGCTCAAAATTTAGGAAATGTTAGATTAAAACCATAAAAATAATAAATCTGTTATGTCATCAATCACAAAACTAAAGAATTTGAATATTCCTTTCTATGTGCAAAATATTACTCCCATTTCAATGAATGGCATGAGCTGAAGCTTCTATAAAAATATTCATAGTAAAATACAGCATGAATCTATGCTTACATTTAATCAGTTTTAGAAAGATGCATCCAATAGTTAGACAGTGTAAAATTATTTAGAATCAGTCAATCTTACCTCAGTTACTGCTGAAGTAACAAAAAGTATGCTGCAATAGACCTTTGTGAACTGAATGGCATATCTGCTCTCATGTACATAAAGCCCTGTAAATAACCTACAGGTTGTTAGTCATTACTTAACTCAGCATCCAAATAAATACATTATACACAGACTATTTTAATAAACCATTGACAACAAGATGCATTTTAAGCAATGTAAGGAACAGTTACAGAAAAAAAATTTGACTTCCCACGTAAAGACCTTCTTAGAATTCCCTCCACTGAACATACAAACCCCTCTGAAGGAACTCAAAAGTCTTTAATGGATTGTCTTGGGACAGATCAGCAAAGCAGAATTCAGTATCTAACATAAGGTGCTTCCTGGGCCATTGGTGTAGTAAAGCATCAGGCAATGTATGAAATCACTGCACTGTTTTCATTCATCTTCCTTCAGTTGGCAGTCACACTGGCTTCCTTCTGACGTAGTCTTTCTTTCTGTTAAAGAAAAAAAAAGAGTTTTATTTTAATTCTTGTCTATAATTTTCCATCTCCTCTCAAGTTCCCATGAGCATTTGGTTTAGAAGATGAAGAAGTAAGTCACAGTTTCAGTTTTCTTTAATTAAAAAATGCTTGGAGCACTCAAAGAAGGTTTAAAACTTCAAAACACATTACTTACTGAGTTTGCTTTCACTACATACTTATCAAATACTGTGTACCTTTAAAAATACACATCTGTGATGACCACTGCAGCTAGAGAAAACGAGATACATTACAAATTCATGTGACTCTAATACCTTCTCATGTCTGGAATGGCTTCTGCTGACATAAGGGCTCTAATTTAGCATTAGCTAGATGATCTTGCTTAATGACCTCTTTCCAGGCAAGTGCAGTCATTCATATCTCTGCTGCCTGATCTGCAACTAATAGGCTCTGCTGGGAATGGAAATAATACCCTGATTCCTTCATGTACATTTCCTTCCCTTCTCTTGCCTTCTAGAGTTTGAGAAATGCTTGTCTAACATATGTGCCTTGCACACAGATAAAAAAAGGAATTATATACAATGCAAATTAGCAGATCTCTTACTGTGTTGTATCAAAAACACTGGTGTACAATAAAGAATAAATGGGGATTTAATCCCTTCTACCACTATTCCACAGAGAAAACAAGATTTTTAAGGTTTTGAAAAAACCAGACACTCCAGCCATTGGACAAATATATCTAGTGAGCTTCTGCACTTCGAAGCATGGAAGAAAATACAAGAGACTACAGTGGAAGGGACGAAGAAAGCACAAAAGCAGCTCTTTTTGTTATCTAAAATAGCAGAGCCATGCTTAGGCACAATTGAACTAAATGTTAAACATAGCTGTTGACTACCAAAGGGCATAAGCTTTAACATTTCTCCTTGTGAAGAAAATCAATCTGCTGCATTCAAACTAAAAATACTTCGTTCTCCAACAACAGCAGAAACCAGCCATCATTTTGAATGACAAGAACGGTGTCACAAAACCCCTTTGGAATGTCATACTGAAAACCACATCATACCAGGCTAGCTGTAGGATTGATTTTCTTCGTTTCAACTTTCTTCTCTGCAGTTAACTTGCTCACTGATTGCTGAGCCACTTTAATTCTGAAACAGAGAAAAGGAGTCATTAGATTTGATGAAATGAAAGGTATTCTGGCTCTGCTTGATATATACTTTGTAAGAAGCCTCACTAGTAACTTTTCTTTGGGCACATTAGCCCAACAAACCACTATTTCTATTTAAACGCACTTAATAAACTACCAAAAGTAGATCAAAGTACATTTTCAAATGGAAAAAATCAAAAGCAAAAGGACAGCCTGTCTCTATTGCTCCTTGAAAATGTCATTGGAAAAATGATTTCTCTGTTCTTGCAGGATCTGGATTTTATGGAGTATCTTTCCCACCAAAAAGATGTGCTATCAAGGCAAAAAGATCCTCCTCTGAAAAAAAAAAGAGCTAGCTGGCTTAATCTGTTGTACACACAGAACCTGCTATTTTAGCAGGCCATTTGCCAGGCTATACATTACATTTCCTCTGAAAACCTTGAAATGAAAGCATCTGCCAGTTTTTTTGTTAATGTTTTCTGTGTTGCTTTAGATGGAACTGACTGACCAGCCTCACTGATGTGGCACTAGGAGGTACAAGAGGTTCTTATCTCAGGGTAGTTAAAGCTGTCTTGTGTACAGCAACAGACTAGACTGCCAAAAGTACTGTAGAGATAAGGGAAAAGAAGAACACATCTGATTCCTCTGCTTCTTGCCTTTTACTCTCAGGGTCTTGCATACAGAACCTTTCCTTCTGTGGGGATTTAACAAGAAGAACCAATGAGTTGTTTAATCAGGAGGAAGAGGAGAAACAGAGAATTAAAGAAAAAGGGACTTGATTCTCCTTGTACAGACTGGAAAGTGCATAGGAAATTATGTGCTAAACAGTGATAAAAAAGAAATAAAATTCTTGGCACTCCTAATAGAGGATCTGCCCAGTGCTAAGTGCCTCTATAATACTGATAGTACATTCAACTACTTTAAATTCCATATGCAAAATGCAAAAAGAGGGAGGTTGGGAGTGAATTTTTACAAGCAAGGAGAACTCAGTAAAGCAATTTTCAGTAATGTACACCAAGTCAAGTCTTTTACTAGAAGCAACACAATTCTTGGCACTCTCAAACTGAAAAATTCTACTTTCTTCTCCTATTTAACTTTTTCCACTGGCAGAAATAATTGCTATGCCCAGTCAAAAAGTATTTAAAATACCACGTCCAGTTCAAACCACTTTTGACACACTCAATTTTTGAGGAATTTTGGAAGAAAAGCAAAAAGAAAAGTGGATTATAGCTGCAATTACTGATGTGTACTTCCTTGTTGTAACAATAGCAGCAAGCTGTATTCTTTTTAAAACACAGAACACATTCATACATCCACTACTGTCTTTATCAATGTTGGAAATGTTATCAGTATTGGAAACAAAAAATTTCTTTTCAGCGTATTTTAGAAGCATGTACAGGATAGTCCCTGGTGTTGTCTCACTTTCAAGCGCTTAAGAAGAGGAGAAAACAGTTACACTACTTTCAACTAAACTTACTATTTATTATATGATTATAAATTATTATTCTGTACATTTTTTAAACACACCTGGTGTATTTTTAGAACTTAATTAGTGTTCCCTGTTTTTACATGTAAACAACTACGTGACAACACACCATTCCATCCCTTTATTTTTGTTAATCTGCACAGTTCACTTCTTAATGCAGGATGACTGCACCCACTGGACAGCATGCTATTCCTCACAGCTACAACATTTATGCAAAGATGAGGATGAATTTCAAGATGGTTTTCTTGTCATCAGAATCACACCAAGTGATCAGCTTCTAAACTCTTCCCTATTTTGAGAACATTTTCTATCTGATCACATTCTCCTTGGTTCTAGAAGTGTTTTCAAATAGTTTTCAAATGTCTTGAGTCCACACTTCCACACAAAGGTAGAATTATAGGGATTACAAACTTTTAGATTCAAAAAGAGAAGATTATGCCTGCCACTGATACAGACCTAGCTCTGTATTATATGGCATATTTTCACTGTTTCTAGGAAATAGTGATGTTTAAAAATAGAATGAAAGATGGGGCCAAATTTTAGGCAGGGCCTATTGCAAAAGGAAAAGGGGTAATAGTTTTAAATTAAAAAGCCAATTTAGATTAGGTGTAAGGAAGAAGGTTTTTACGAGGAAGAAGGTTTTTACAATGAGGGTGTTGAAACAGAATCAAGCCCTGAAATGGAGGGCCACAATCTACAGCTCACAGTGACAAGGACAGTTTTGGACAGAGAGCACTGGTAAGGACAAAGAGACCAGAAGGGATGACAGAGTAGCTGAACCACAACACAAGACAAGGGTGACTGAGCACTGGAACAGGTTGCCCAGAGAGGCTGTGGAGTCTCCCTCACTGGAGATACTCAAGAACTGTCTGGATGCAATGCTGTGCCATGTGCTCCAGGATGGCCCTGCTTGAGCAGGGAGGCTGGACCAGGTGAGCCACTGTGGTCCCCTCCAAGCTGGCCCGTGGCTAACTGAGCAAGCAGTCATGAGGCCAAAACATTAGGGAATGCAGGTCACTCAAGCCTTCAAATCTGATGAGCTGCAATGTGGATGTGTTCAAAAGAAAAGTTATTCTCCTTCAACTGTGATCAAAAGAAATCAATGCACCTTAATTAATAAAGAAGATATGGTGTCAAACTGAGTGATACTGCACATTAGCACACAATATGGAAAAATATTGAATTGAACAATTAACAAAACTATGTATTTTTAAATATGAGAACCATGACTCCAATACTGCATATGTATCCTTACTATAATCTATGGGAATGTAATTGGCTTTTCCCTGACTCTATGTGGCAAGTGGTGTCTTCCTCTGTAAACTGGATGAAAGCCAAGCCTCAAATTAGAAGTTATTAGTGAAAAATAAAGATATTATTTTTATTCAAAATTATTTTCATTCTGTACCTAGGGATGCAGAAACCTGATCTAAACATAAGGCTGTGTTTATTATAAAGAAGTTTCCTCTGTAAGCTCAAGAAAATACGTTCTTTTCCTTACAGGAAAAGATACTACCAAGCCAGGGATTAAGTAGATAAACTGATTATCATTTTCACCTCTGGTTTCCACTCAAGTCAAACAGAAGGCAGCATGGCCTGGCACACTCCATCTTATGAAGTTTCCCAGTTAGGAAAACCAGAATCCCTTGTAAATGAAGCAATTGCTGCTCACATACTCATGTTCTGGCTCTGTTATTGTGCAACAACAGAGACCAAATTATCTGATTTTCTCTCAGCTTCTCAATAATCTGGAAAATCCATTCTTTTCGCTTCTACAGCTCCTTTCATGCAGCTGGTGGGTTATGTGGATAGCTGTGGGTTAGGAAATAACTTGGAATGACAGTTCTGTGTCACCTGAGCTTCCCATGACTAGAACTTTAAAATTCTCCCATAAAACTGTTTTGGCATAAGGAAAAGTTGTGCAAACAAAATTTCAGATATGGGCGGAAATGAACAAGCAGAGGTAGCACAGTCAACATCAACTACTCAATCTAGAGCCAAGCTGCATATCCAGTCCAGACCCTTAACACAGCTGAACAGTGACTTCCCTTAGGACAGTGAGAAATCCCCACAGCTCACATTCCTTTCATGTGTTAAATGCCTTTCTACTCTCAGTCCTATTTCTGTATGCAGCTCATAAACTAAACTCAAGTCACAGCTCCATTTCCTGAAAACTGCTAGCCCATGAAATAAAACAGGTTAGATTTCAGTATCAAAATTTTAGAAGACAGGTGTTTGTGTAGTACCTGGCCTGGCAGATGGTTTTACAGAGTACTTAACTAGCTTTAAAATTAGAAGCCTTATACCAGATTATGAAGTTTAAACGTAGCCACTTCTATTACTGTGCTGTCCAATACAACTTCCCATCAAGCCTTCAGCCTAATCCTCTGGAAAGAACTTGGCCATTACTGATCAAATCTTTAGATTGCATTTAAACTAAATGTTCACTAACTAAATTAGTAAAATACAGTAAAATGTATGTTGTCAGTGGATTTTGTCATTAAACCTCAAATTGCCAATATGTTTGATATGTTTCTTTTTTTTCTGGATGTACTGACAGTGGTTTGTATACAAAGTTATCTACAAAGTAAGTGAAAAATTTCATCTCTGTAGCAACAAGGAATAAGATTTAAATTTTTTTTTTCTTTTAGGAAAGTTGATGCATAAGAAAAACCAATAGGAAGACAAGGGCTAAAGAACAAAAATATACTTCAGTTCATCTGAGATGGCCACTGGCAAATATTTAGGAGTATATAAAGACAGCTAAAGCCTAGTGATAATCACCAGAATGCTTTTGCAGCTGGGAACTCTCTTAATGTGCAAGTCCTTCATAGATTTTGCTAATATAATTTTGCATTGCTACCATTTAGAAGCAATGCAAGCTTTTACCATCTGTGACATCTTGTGACAAAGTGTTTCTGTTTTCAAGATGAAATATATAATTCTGTTCATTAAATAGTGATCGTGTCTTCTCCAGCTATTGAGACAAATTTTGGTTCTGTTTTTGATTTCTGAATTCTGGCCTATTTGTATGCAGATTCAATCTGAAAGAGATTACTTCATCCAGTACAGTAACCATTGTAGCAATCTTATCCTTGCAAGAGTCAGCAGTGAGTTGAGTTAAATTAAAAGCAACAATTCTTTCCTATTTTAATTATTTCATATTTGAAGGGTAACAGGCATAAACATATTATTGTAATCTTTGTCACATTTATTTTGCAAAACATAATCACAGTTTGTGATGAAACTCACTGCAAACTACTAGTATTTCTTCTGTAATTATACTTTTTCCTTATTTCAGACTTGTCTAGGACATCCTCTTAAAATATAATTTAATATGTATAATGGATTTAAGTTGTTATATATATGTATTTGTTTTGGTTCTGAATTCATAGACATGCTCACTGCAAATAAAATTAGTACTTTAAGAAAAGGAGGTGACAGTGGAAATATCTGCAATCCACCTTGCTCTAAGTGCTTTATTGCCAAAAACTGCAACGTTTTAGTCTTCAATTCAGCTATCATCTCAAAATTTCATACACAGAAAAAAGCATAAAAGCAGTTGATGTACCTGAATGCATACACGTTGTAAATTATAAAACTGTCAACAACTGAATTTTGATTCAAAACAGCACCAAAAAAAAGTTTCCAACATTAGGTGCACTTACATTCAGCTGTTTGTCACAGATGATGTGATCGTCAAAGTATATTTTATTTCATTGTACTTGAATTCTGGTATTGAAGGGAAAGTGAACTGTCATCTTATTCCTATCAGACATATGGTTTGGAAAATAGTTTTCATTTTATCCCTATAGTCATTTAGATATCATATCATATCATATATCATATCATATCATATCATCTTTTTTTTTTTTTTTAATCTGTAACTCCATCTCGCATTCCCAAATTATGTGCAAATTTTGTCCAGGAAAGACACAATGACTCAGTTATATTTTGCAGGCAGCTAATTTATTTTCATGGTGAGGTTAAATGCAGGGCAGCTCAGTTGAAGTGTTTCCTCTACTTTAGGAAAAAGTGTCATTGAAATCTCATTAGATTCCTACAGTTGTGTTACATTTGGCAGCCAAGCAGCTTTAGACAAAACAGGCTCTTTGCAGCTGAGACTGTCATTTAGTTAAAGACAGCACACTTTTTTCCTGAAACTCAAAGATTTTAAAGATGTCTGTTATACAATGCAATGTAGTAAGTTTGGGATATAAAATTTTAATTTTGGAATCATAGATCTTTTGAACTATTTTTTCTAGTATTAAGTTTAACCTAATAAATTTTTAATTATTCCTTTTATTAATGATCATTCTGTACATTATCATCAAATTTTTATGTGTCATATTTCTTGAAAGACAAATTACAATCCACTATTAACGTTCCTATGTAAATGTAAATAATTAGCTAATTCCTACGCATTTTATATTGGGTTTCTTCAGCTCCTGAAATTTGAAAGGTGGAATAGGAAATTTGAATAGGTGGATAGGTGAACTATCATTCACCTATCATTAGGTGTTCACAAAATGATATCAATGCCTCAGTTTCAGAACTTACATTTGCAATTACTGACTTACAATGATGTTTCTTCCTCTTTAAAACTTCCTTCAAAACAAAATAAGGGTTCATGACAAAAATGTTCTCTTTCCTTTTTTTAAATTGAATTGCAATCTTTAAAAATGCACAACAAATAGTGCATCCAATTAATTAGCTAGTAAAGGAAGACAGCTGTCCATTCCTGTCATTCTAAGGTTTTTAGTTACCAGTGTGTACAATGATTCTTCCCTTGCTTTCAAACTTTTTTGGACAGCAGTTCATCAATTGTTAGTTTCATACTTTGTTAAACAGGACCCTTAAATGATTAAGACTTTACAAGACATTTTCAGGTGATGTAAAAAGCTTTTCCACCATTCTAATCTACTGATTTCACTATGTCTTTCTTTTCAGTAGCACACTACAGAACAATTTATAATGATGAAAATAGCTCTTTTGTCATTCTAATTGACTATTTACACAAGGCTCCTCATTTTAACAGCTCATCATCTTGATGAATCACCCAAGTTTGAATGTAAAGGGCAATGAACTGTGCTTTTGAGACTAATGAAACTTTGAAAAATAATTTGAAGTGAGCTTTGAAGAACAGTCTATATGACCCAGAAAGTGTCAGCGCCTAGAAGTATTACAGTAACTGCTGCTCTGCATTCTACTGTATTGCTGTACCTGGAACAGGAATAAGGCATCTGTCAGAGGAACTGGTGATATATTTGTTCTGTGTTTTTATTTGTAGATTTGACTGATACAGCTATTAAACCACAAGAAATTGTCACCTCACCTGAGTATGAAAGCACACAATATAGCAGTCTACTTACAGAGATTTTGTGATTATTGTATTAAGATAGTTAAGAAGCTGTGTACTGTTAAAACATAAGCCACTTCAAATCGACTTATTTGAAAGGATCATTGTGTGGCATATGATAGAGATAATTCATGCTATTTATGTATAAAATATTGTAGAATCCAAGCTGTGTCTAAGGCTGGGAGCAGAGCCTTATTTTTATTCAATTAGTTCCCGGACCACCTGTAGATAATATCAAGCCGGTTAACGTACGAATGAAACCTTCCCGCCATGATTGCTGACTTCCCTGGAATGTCAGGGCCACTCACAAGGACCTGCACCTGGGAGGATTGCATCTACCACACTCAAGCACTGGGCTCCACTCTGCTACATGTGAGTGCAGGCTCTTCCGAAGCGTTCAGACAACCATCTAGACATCTGGACTCACTTCTGTCTATTCCTGCACATGTATGGCCCCAGTTCTACATGTGAAGGGACACAAAGGAACATCCGGTCATTTCTGCCTCAGGCAGAATAAACTGTATGTAAGCTCGCTGCATGGAGCACGCTGACACTTTGTGGGTCGGATACGCAGGGTTGACGCTGCCTTGGCTGTGGTGGTTTTTCTCGAAATTCTATTTTGTTAACGATCTAATAAATCATTGCTAAATTTTCTTATAAATTTGGTTTCCAATTTGATCATTTATAACAATTGTGTACCATTAGCAAGGTGCTAATTACATAAAAAAGAAAGGTCTGCATGGTCTGGATTTTTTTTTTCTCGGGCAGTTAACTTCTCTTCCTCCTAACTGCTTTTGGAACAAAAATAAGTCATGATTCAGCAGAAAATATATCCCTGAGATGATCTCTATCATGACCATAGCAACATGCTTGGGACTTTTTATTTTATACAGTTTTTAACATGTAAACCAAATTTGCATATTGATTTAGATACAAAGAAAGAAAAGATTATTTGTAAATGTTTGCATTTGTCAGCTTCCAAAATCAATCAATAGATGATACAAAAAGCTACAACTTTCACATGTTTTAAAACTGTAAAATCTATAAAGCAATGCTGATAAGGTTGATAAATGAAGAATTTGTAACTTCTACATCTAGTCCTTCAAAAAATCTACTTTATAGGAACTGAAAGCGCCACTGATTTGAAGCAAAATGGAAAATATAAGTGTAAATGAGTGTTCTACTTTTGCTTGCTCTCTTAAAGACATTTTAATCTACCTCTTTGTCAATTTGGTACAAGCACCTGGATTTAAATTTCATGCTGAAAGTAATTGCTCCATTCTTTTCCAAAGAATGACTACATTACCACTCTAGGTCTTTTCAAATGAATTGTAACATGCTGAGCGTGATGAGCTTGTAGTAGAATTGCTTTTTTTTGTGTAAAAGACTTAAAGTTTCTTTAAGAAAACCAAGAAAATAATTGAAGGTTTTAGGTTTTTGGGTTCTTTTACTCTAACTAATAAAATCAGGAGACTGTTGTGAGATCTAGCGGCAAGCAGTTTGATGTCCTCAGCAGGACACCAAAACTCAGAAGTAGTGCTGTAAATTCAGTGTGGGGCTTCGACACTGCTAAGTGTGGCCTGAATCTCTGGGGCTTCTCTTTGATGCAAGTGCAGTATATTAACTGGAAAAGCATTCACTTTTATTTGTCTGTACTGTCTGCGACAGCAATATCGCCTCATTTAGGCTAGTTCAACATGAAAATGCACAGAGAAGCAATCTGTTATAAATTAGCACAGCTCTCCTTTCATTTTACTAGCTAGTAATTGGAAGGGGTTACAAAAGTGTAATTTATCAGATTATATGTGTTTATCTTTTTGTGGGGACAGCATGCCTTTGGTGAATTTTCCTACGCACCCTGAGGGAATAATCTTTCCTTGATGTCCATTAGATCTGAAAGTAAACAATGACGCCTGTGAAATATAGGAGTATAATTTGTTGGGTTTGAGAAGCAGCAGTTTCCCAGACATCTAAAATGGTATTAATGACTTTATTAGAACCTTACCGTTCCTTGGAAATGCTTTTGCTCTCTCGTTTCCAAATGGTCTTGAAGTCACTGCAGAATTCGTACCACACTGTGAAAACGTAGTTTGGTGTGATCTCCTTCTCACCAGGCTTTGGCTTTATCCCAAAGTATCCCACTGTTTCTTCAAAGCTGCAAGGCAGGGGGAAAGAAAAGAAACCAGTCAACACATAAGCCCACTGGGGAAACAGTTTCTCTGATTCAGTAGTCACGGCTGGCAATTACCATAACTTCTCCTTAGCCTTGGAAATCACAGCAGCAATTCTTGGTAAGTATAACTAACCTTCCAACACCCACCTCTTTTCTAGGAGGGTAACTTACAGATGCACAAGCCACCACAGAGATGTCACACTGGCAAATCATGGGTGTTCAATTATAATGAGAAAAGCTTAACTTCTTGCCTTACAGGGAATGCTGTAATATATTTATTTATTTTATTCTGCTGCACTCCATGAAGATCCTATTCTCCCATTTAACTTTACTGAAGGACTCTGGAAGAGCCACACACCAAGTCAGGAAAAAAATCTCTAAGTGTGACTGAACATAGTCTTCTAGTATTTAGGGAGAATTGCGAGTAGCAACAACCAAGCCACAGACAGTGCCAATAGTAATTCTGCAAAAGTTTTACTGAAAATAATCTCCTTTGACATATGTCAATAAACAATTAATTTTACAAAAATACATTGCCAGTATTAGAATGCTTTTAAAAAGATTTTATAATGTGGCTGTTACTGAATTGCTATACAGCTGGACATTTTCAAAGTATTCTTTTATTACAGACAGTAGTTCCAAGAGCATTTTAACTGATTGTGCATTTTTAACTTTATGACATTGCTTTGTATACCTAAAATGGAACAACTCTCATAACTAGGTACTTATATAAATAAAAGTATGTTCACTTTTGTTAAAGTTGAATCCCTTTTCTCTGCAAAGTAGATGCAGCAATCCTGAAACATTTGGTGATATTTGTTTAAAATAATGCTATAATTTAAAAGCAATGGTAACAACATATTTTAAAATAAGTAATATTTCCTGGAATAATCATTTTATTTAATCATAAGAAAGCTATATTCTTCTTTAGAGTTGCAAATAGGTTCTTAATCTAAACACCGGATGTGTAAATTTTGAAAATAAAATAAATAATTTTGAAGACCGGTAAGGAGTCTCCAGCCATTCAACTTGTTACATGAACAATGGATGCAGCTTTGGCATCTTTCTTCATTTATATTTGCATTTGCAGAGTCCACATTGCATGTTTTCATACAGAAATACAAGGTCAGGCTCAAGATTTTTTGACTTAGTTTGAAATTAAAGCTCTTTAGCTTAGTTTGAAGAATATAAAGTATTCATCAAAAACTACAGATATTATCCAAAATAAAGCAATATATGCTCGAGCTACTTCACAAAGAACCTTGGATTTTATCCACATGAGCCAATATGCTCTGGGATTTTTTTTTGACACTTTAACGATAGAAACTATGCTGTGCAATATCCCATACTGTTCAAGGTAAGCTATTAAAATAATAGTTTTTTAAAATCCTCATATGTGATAACCTTAACCTTTTACATTCTTGCTAGGTTTTGCATGAAACATTTAACTATATTTCAAATTAATTGATGTTCCATATTTAAACAATCAGAAAGAAATATGTGTATATAGGGCCATACATAACACTCAGAGTTAATGGGTCTTGCAGTGACACTAGGAGGAGAAACAGAAAAATAAAAAAACAAACAAACAAATAAACCAAATACCGCTTTAAATATCTGTGCAAAACGTTTTTGTTTTCAAACTCTAAAAATAATAAAATACCTTAGTCATAATTACGTGGTTAAAACCATTTATGGTACTGGGCAATGTCATGTGCATTACGTTCACTTGGGCCAAATGGTCCTCAGCTGTTCACAGCACTTTCACTGGGATAGCTTCACCAAGAGCAGCAAGAACAGAGACTCTTCTCAGCTTTGCTTCATGTAACAGCAGCCCCAGGTACATTGTGCATTCTTCTACCTAACAGAGCCCTTCACCATCCCTGCTGGAGCATACAGAGGCGGGATCCTGAAATCCTGCACCATCTTTCTCTGCCTTCATCATGACACTTTGCATCCTCTCTTCCTTTCTTCATGAGCCCCATTAGCACTCCTTTGCTTTTGCCCACCTTAATCTGGCTTCCTGGGCTACTTTCTGCCTTTCTAAAGTAGTAATTTAAAACACTGAATATTCAGTTGGCAATTAAAAACCCCAAACTCTGTGTTGGACAACTAATTCTTTAAGTCAGCTGCAAACTGGGTGCAGCTCCACACCCTGGAGAGTCTATTCTACTCTAGAAAGGCTACAAAGCAGGTAGGATAGGAAGGAGCTTGGTGCCAAGGAAGTTAGGTTTGCATCTAAGTAGAGCCAGTCAGAGACTTGAAATGAGGAGGTAAAGCCCCAGCTGCCATCAGCCAGTTGTTCAGCCAATATTTAGGTAACTTCTGCAAGCAGATGGGAGCAGCTCACCTAAGACTTGAACTGCATTTGGGAAGTGCCCCTTATCTCCCTCTTCCTGAGAGCCTAGGAAAACTAACTGAGGTGTCTTGGGTGGAGTGAGTATGGTCTGTGAAAAGTACAATTAAAATCCAAATTACCACAGGTCTGCCTTCAGTGACCAGGAAGAAAAAATATTGATAGGAAGTGAAAAATTAATTTACCCCAGTTTATTTCTACCAGGTCCATAGCTAAGATGGATGTTTCACTGTCACAAAACTACGATTTGGTAAACACAATGTATTAGTAACATTAACTTATTGAATATTTTACTATCAATCTATAAATCAATCTCACTTTTTCTATACTTTGACTCCTTTGGCCTAAGTGAGGCACAAATATTCAAGCAATAAAAACACTGGGATTTCAATGGCTTCTTAGGCGACCGAGTGCTGTATTCTAAGTGCTCATAATGTGCAGTGACGATGAAATACATTTTTATGTTATAAAGTAGTTAATCAGTTATTTATCTTTTCTATAAAAGCCTCATTCAGTTCAATGCTGATAATTATTAAAACCTCAAACACAGTACACTGTTTGGATAAAAACACAAATGAAGTTTTTCCTGGAAGATTATGTAAGAGTTGTTCAGGAAACATATTACTTCTATGAAATGCAGATCCTTTTTGCTATTGAATGTAATTCCTAAGTTCAATAATATCTTTGATCAAAATAAACTGTTAAAGAACACTAGCAAAAATCTTACCATTTTTGAGCATTTTCCAAACTGTTCTCTTCTTTTTTCCGTTCTTCTTTAGCTGCCAATGAGAAACATTTTAAAGGTATAAATTACTGTCTTACTGTTTTAGAAACCCCACAGATTAAATATTTCTTCTTTATAAAACTGCACAGTTTGTATACTAAGTATAAAAAAAGTAGGAAACACTTGCTAATTTTCAATTTTTACATATTTCTTGTATACAATGAATGTTTCTTCTGTAGCAATAAAGTGTATTGGATTTGGAAAGTAATTTAAAATCCATATAATAATATACAGTGTTAGGCATAATTTGAATAAAATGTAAATAATTAAACTTCACTTTCAGATTTTTTAAAAAGAAAATATTTCGTGTTTGTTTCTTTATTGTTGCAGGTCAGAACTTATAAATTTAAATGTGTTTCTGCAGCATAAATGACTGGAAGTTCAACTGCAATTGAACAGGTACCAAACATAGTTAGCACCAACTGCTCCTTAGAGCTATCACATTTTGTTCTGGAAGCTGGAAAGTGAAAACACATGTAGTAGGTTTTAAATGTATGGCATGTACATGGTTTTTTTGGAAAAATCAGCCAAGAATTTGAAATATGGTTAGTGAATCTGAGCCCCTCTATTACAGAATGCTCACATGAACTACTTAAAAGGATTTGATTTTCAAAAGATACACATTCTCTACTACTGGAAATGTTTCCTGACCTGGATACTCAAAGCAAAACCACTAGTTTTTGTTGATCAAGTCTTCTTAATACAGAAGAGCAACTTCAGCTCCAGCAGAATACCACCTATATAAAATAATGCTACTGTTGAAAAGTCATTCCTACTCCATATTAAAATAATCCTGTAAGTGGTAATGTCAATATAAACAGAATTCAGACATTTTTTTATACAAAAATAAAGAACGTTATCTTTTTGCATCTCAGTCCACAGGAGTGCCTGATTGAAATACAGTTACAAACTTGAGTTTACAGACAAGGCCATTGAGAAACTGGTCCTGAACAACTTCATTTCATTATAAAGCTACTGACAAAGAGGTTTGTACTATGATAGTTTAAAAGGAAAATAAAACTTGATTGCTTCAGCACGTTTGCTGTTAACAAAACAAGTTAACCTCAACTCATACATTTACCTGCCTTGGGTAAGTGTGTTGGAGATATTTATTCCTATTATTTCAATGTGGCCAATAGCCAGAAACAATGTTGTGTGCCCTTTGCAGGGAAAGCAATTAATTCTATATGATTAAGTTCTCCATCTCAAATCTTAGTGGCAAGACAGCTGCAAGTGAAATATATAGGGCAGCTCTGATTTATCCCATTCACCTCAGGGTCCCAAAAATTTGCCTGAAGCTAACCCAATACACTTAATTCATTATTTCAATTTTATACCATTAAAAGCAGAAAACACAGGTTGGAATTCTACTGATTCATAATGATATAAAATTACTTACACAAGCTGAACTATGTATAAAATTGTACAATTCATTATTACACTAATAATTTCTTTTTGGTTTTCGAAGAGATGGAAGATTAAGTATGGCAAATTTCCCAACATAGCTACATTCCCAGCTACAACAGAAACAGTATCTTCAGGTCCCTACATATGAAACACAATAACTAACAAGGACAACATGTTTATGCATTTATAGTTAGGTGGCAAGACTGGATTTACTGCTTTTAATCTTGCAAGAACAGGATAAGGAAAGATAGTGGAAAGAAGTTTTAATTTTTTATACAAAGTAGAAAATAAGTGTGACTTTTAGGAAGAAACACACAGAGCCTACATTAATATAACAGTGTTTGTGTACCAATAAAAGGCGAAACAGGAAGGAAGAAAATAGCTGTATTATAGGGCAAACAGTATTTTCTGTATTTCTAACTGTAAACATGTCCACCCAGGAATTGTTTAAAAGCATTTATTTGAAATTTAGATGTTGAGACTTGTTAAAAAAATAAATGAACGACTCCATATAACAAGTTTTATAATGTGTAAGACAAGAAACTAGAGCAATTCTCTTATTTTCCACTCAAAATCTGAAATATCCTGCTCTTTTTCTCCCGCCCCAGAACCTGCAATGACTAGCACAATCAATGCTGTCAGTATAGGTTTCTATGAAACAATGTAATTTCCGCAGGAGAGCCTTCAAAGCCCCATAGTCAAGATATCAATCCTTGTCTAATTTGTGGAGTTACTGAAGACAATTCATATGAATTACATAAGTGAAAGAATTAATTTTTTTTTTTTTATTTCTCTAGCAACACCATATTTGCTTGCACAGGATTTGCTTTTTGAAGAAGTGGAAGGATGTAATCTTTCCACCCTTAGACCACGTGTTTGATTTCAGTTTCATCAAGTTAAGACTATATTAGCAGCCATATCAGACTGGCACAGGGACTCATCCAGCCTAATTATCCTGTCCCTGGCAGGCACTGAAACAGGTGCTCAGTTAGAATTACGGACCAGGACAAACACACTTCCCTAAGTGAACTCTCTGCCTCTGAGATTCTGTAGCTCGTACAAAATGTTTCCTGCATTGAATGGCATTGTAATGTAAGCCTCAATGGATTCTTCTTCAAGAACCTGCTCATTCTTTGCTCAAGCTTTTAGAAACTTTTTAACTTCCAAACCTGCTGTGGCAAGTGTCCTATAGTCCACTATATGCACCACATTTTGTTTGAAATGGACACCTGATATCACTCTTGTATCAGAGAAAACCTGACTGCAGTGAACACTGCAATACGGTGTCTTACTGGCATGAGCTTTTTGATTAGGATGTTTTTGAAGCAAATTTCCTCAGTATTCCCCATTTAATGAGGATTGTTTTGGTTTGCAGGTAGGTTTTGGTGCTTGTAAACTAATTTCCATTAGGAGGAAATTAAACAGGAAGCTCCACAGCAAATGCACTCCAATATTAAATAGGGAGAAAAGGACTAAAATAAAATTTGGGCCTTCAGATATCTTTGAATACATGAGATGGATGATCTAATGAATTTGCCTTATGAATCACGTATTTGTGATGACTTCCTTTTACTGAAATGGAGATGTCAACTTGAAGATTCATGATCCTCTAACAGCTTAAAAAGTGAAGTAGTATTAGAGTGAAATGGTAAAAAAATTCTCCAATATATTCTTTCTAAATATTCTACTCTTTGAGGATGGAAGAGTACATGAAACACTATATTGAAAATGAGAAATTACCAGAAAATATTTTTTTTAACAGGTCTAATGTATGCACAGCAGCTCCAGATACAACAGAGCCAATACCTCTTCATGCATCAGGCTACTATGAAACAGATCTCTAAAGAGCAAAGGAAAGAAAATACTGGATACAAATTCTGGCACAGACGAAAATTGAGAAGGTCAGCAACTAACAGAGGCAACCAGAGAATGATGATGCACTAAGAAAAGTGCAGGGAAAGACAAAGAAAGACAAAGAAAAATGGGTAGCCACAACTACACAAACATCTCTCAGTTACTTCTGCCCCTCTAGTGAAAAAGTCCAGTCATTGAGTCTGACTAAACAAATTTTCTGGTATTTCTCTCAGACCTTAAATATATGAATGCACTTAAGAATGATAACTCACTCAAGTGTATTGATTTAGCTGGATACATTACAGCTTTTCTTTTGTTTTTCAGTATTTTTCTACTTTCATAATTGAAAGATCTGATGCATAAAGTTTTACAAATTTTTAAAGCATTTTGGAGCAGTGAAAATTTCCACAATTATAAGAAAACTGTAACAACTACTCATTAGGGTGGAGATATCAGAACTCTTAATTTTATATTCCAAGGCTGAGTTTCTGTGATTCAAAAATATATGCTTCAAGAACATATGCTTCAAGAACTTTAGGAGACAGCTTTGTAAATTATAGTGTTTTCTGCATAGGAAAAACACCACCCTAAAACAAGGTATTTGATTTTTTTTTCCCCTTGAGGAGGGAGATATGTCTTTTCTGACTCATGTCTTCCAATCAATCACAGTTAAGATTAAGACAGAATCTATAAGACATAGACAAAAAAAAACCCCAACCAAAACTCAACCTTAAAAGTAAACAACAAAACCAACCAATGAACCAAAACAAAACCCCTACTGACATTCCTCTTGGAGCTTTATAAAAGCCTGGACAGAGACTGTTAAAACAGTGACAAAAGGTTATTATGACATTTCTAGTCTCACGGGAACCCACCTTCCTCATTAGTCAAAACTAAAACCTCTTAGGTAGGCATGTTGAAATGTAGCCAAAACATGAACCCCATCCTAGAAACATACTAACCCATGATTTAATGGCAGATGAAGAAAAGTATACCCCCCAAGAGGTTATCTTTCCCCAAGCTGAGGAAAGTCACATTCTAGGACATTATCAAGTTAGGAGAACAAGTGACAATTGACCTTATTTTCTTGGTCTTTGTAAAGCATGAACCATGCTTTGAAAGCATTATCACCATTTGAAAACAGAGATCCAAATCTCTTAGATATTATCACTGGTGATATACTTGGGTATCAGAAGTTGAACCCAGAAGGCTCCCAGGCTAGAAGTGTAGTAGATCTATTTCTACCCTCAAGTACAACTGTCATGCAAGAGAAATTGTTTAATAACCCTGTTTAATCAGGGATTTTGGAGGGTGGAAGAAAAATCTCAAAGGTGCCCTAGGTGGGCAAAATGACTACAGAGGATCATCAAAAGCGCTGCATTTATACAGTTTTTCTGTTTCTGAACAAAATTCTTGATGTGTTCAAACTACTAGCACAATGCACTATGGTAGTACTATGACCAGCAGGATTAGAGTGGGATGAAATAAGCCTTCTTTGGTTTTGATTTCAATATATCTGTTAACACTGAAAATTTTTGAACAGATTTAACTTTTAGGAAATGCTTGACTCAAACCATATTGACCTAAAAGTAGTATCATGGAAAAGAAAATTTTCGTAGGGATGCACTTGCTAGCACATGGCATTTCTCTGAGCTGCAAAGAACTACTACAAACAATCTAAACCTCTTCCCAAGGGCTGCTATTTTAGAATCATCATGGATTAACTGTGGCCAG